TTGTTACGCAGTCCTCCTTCCCTAGGTCTTACCCCAGTCTCTCTTTTGCCCCGTAAGATCCGTCTGCCCTCTCTCTAGTTCGCATATTCTACTCGACCCCTTCCACCTCATCCGTGCCAACTTGAGGCGTTATTGACCATACCCTGCGTCTGGGTGACTAATTCGAGGCTCAAACCTCTGAGAAAGTGTCATGGTCAGGCCTTTGCCACATGGACCACGTCTTTTATAAAAACTACTATAAGCCCACTAGCTCCCATCGCCGCCGCATCAATCCTCTTTCTATATCTAATACCAAGTCTATGACTTCTCATACCCTAGCCTCTTGTGTGCCAACCCACAAATGTTGTGGTCATGCTTTCTTTGACTAGGTTCAATGTTGAACCAGAACAATTGTCGGTTGGCACATATAATAAAGTAAGTAAAATATCATGACAGTGAAGGCGTGGTTGGAGGAGATAAGAAATGTGAATAGACTAGTGCAGAATAAAAGACACAATAACGGTTTAGCACTTGTCTCTTTGACGAGTTGTAATATAGTTCTACGAATAGTAAAATTCACTGACGATGCCGAATACGATGCCGGCGAAACGTCTGGGAATGTACCACGTCAACGGTCCAACTTTTCAAATAATTATGCATACAATGGACTCAGGACAAGGTGCGTTTCTATAAGTCCTGCTACCCTTATTACCAAGTAGCGAAAACAAGGTGAAACAACTTCTATACAACGATATGATACTGCGACCACACAAAGGCGACACCATCTTGGTCTTCATATCTTCGATCATATATTATTATTTTTTATAATTAATGAACCCGACTTGCGTTTCCAGGGAATTATTATTTGTCTTATTGAAGATAGATTAAGACTTACATATATATATATATATATATATAGGCTATGTATCTATCTACCCTATTTCGTTTCAAGATGAAATGACAAATTTATTACCACTTCTTAATCATCTTAGAGCCAAATTAATTTAGTACATCTCATATATATGTGATATTAGTATATCCAAAACGAACTGATAGATATAAAATATATATGCAAAGCCAAGAAAATAATATCACACTTACTTGTTATATAGTACAAGATCAGGTGTCCATATATCCCTCGAAGGAATGTATAATTCTGTTACATTTCCATACTGTTTGGGATCCCAAATAAATGAAGGATCTGACCATTCCTAATCAGATGAATTATAAAAGCAGAATGAGTACCTGATTGACCCAGCCACTTAGAGTAATAAATTGATTTTTTTCATCCTGAAAAATGTATTTAAAGGAAATTAAGTAAATAGAATTTTAGGCCATTTGTACAAATATATTTACGAAAAACGAACTTACAACGTCAACTATTTGAATAAGACTGAGATTCATGAAAAGCAGAACTGAGTGATCACGACTTATTACAGGTCGTGCATGAGATATGTAGTATTTTCTCTTCATTAAATGATCAAATAGTCTATTGGAATGGCGAGAACCTATTAATGGTAAAGAAAGAAACACATTTTAATTCCCTTGGTAAACTTTAACAATTGTAATGTATAGTAAAAGATTTCATACATTGTGAAAAATCCAACAATAATATAATGCATGAAAATAAAAAAATGAGAGCGTGTAATATCACCATCTGTAAGAAATGAATGCTCGAGCCAAAGGCTCTAAATTACTAATTGCCTAAACCAATCACAACTATAATTTTTCACAACTATATAATAGTAAAATCGCTATATTAAATTATGTTTAAATTTATATATAACATAATATTTGCATTAATTTTTTTGCAGATACACAAATATGATGTGTTTAAATCTCTTAACTTACACTAGGTCATGGCTAATGACAATACTGCCTTATATAAATGTTGTAGGTCCTGCTTTTATCGCGCATAAATGTCGGAATCTTTAAAAAGGCTGGCCAAATTAGGGTCGTTTAGTATTCTCCAGGAAAAGCTAGATAGCTGGAGTGAAAATTTTTACGTATGACTGAATTCATATGCCATTTTACGATATAGAGAAATACAACGGATCAAAACATCGCCACTGGATGCGAGATTATTGAACTAAATGCAAGAGTTCAGGGACAGCTCTTTAGACTTCTTAGTATATGTGCATGTGAAGGTATGGAGTTTTTATTTAATTCTAAATATTTTTTTAAACTTTATAATTACCATATTATTAAAAATCTATATGATTTGTAACATTATTGCGTTTATTTGAAAAAAAATTAAGGAACTACTAATACTATATTTTTATCAAATATGTATAACAAATACTCTTAATAATTGTTTAAAATACTAGTTATTTAGGTGATATAAAGCAATTGTATAGGTGACTATACTAAAGGTATTTAATTTGAAAAATATATGATAATGTTTTTAAAAAAATGTAAATCGAACTTTTTTAATCTGTTTATTAAAATGTTAAATTAAGGTAGAAAGTGCCTGTATAAATATATATCTTACATTATGTTCTTTGTAATCTTTGTAAGCTTTTAGTATTTGCTTTTTTACACATTTATTTTTTATTAATTTTAGCTATCTGTATCAAATATCCAATTTAATATTAGTATTTATTTTTATTTTATAAAGCGATATACGTCATTCTCAAGAAAGTAACAAAGTTTATTGACACATTCTTTTTATACTATTATGTAAAATATAGTAAAACTCTAGTGAGGAATCTTTTCATTTTATACCTATCCGGTACTTTCTTCTTTAATATAACGCATCTTTAAGCGAAAATATAGCATTTAATAATTGTTAACAATATTAAAGTAATCTGATCAAGTTTTTGTAAATTAGTCGTATTGTCAGGACTACCTAGTTAGATGCACCCTGCCCGAAATCCTTTGCTACGCTAGTTATGCTAAATACCAACATTATAGCTTGTACCTAAGACATTACCTGACGCTTCGCTAGCCCCGTGGTCGATATCGTCAATGCACTCTTAGCAAAAATATACAACTTGTCAAACAGACAAATTAAGTCAATTCCTTGACCAACTCCATTGCTACCGGTTGTGCTATAACTTTTCTTTTTGCCCTGGCATATCTATCTCCTTCATACCATTTTATCATACTCTCACCTTATTACAACTTCCTACTTGCTTATATTTGAGCACTTCTGATGCGCACCTTTTTGGCGTTATCAGACCTAAGTGTTTGCATTGCTCCTCACTTATCAAATTTTTTTGATCTTTTATTCAATTACCCCTTTTATCCGCGTAGATTTATTTCTTACCTTTCTAGCTAACTAATAGGTTAAGAGTAAAAAAAGAGGGTATAAATAGGTTAAGGTACCAAATCAGGTTAATTAGTGATAAGCTACCAATTAGGCAAAAAACTGGTCAAGGGATTCTCCTCACTTTTTAACATTACAAGTTTTAGCTTGGCGCTAAGAATAAAAATACTTACTGAAGATGCTCTTTACGTTTCGGGTAAAGAATCTGAGAATCTTTTAAGCCCAAAGTACAACGCTTGGAATTATCATAACACCTATAACAAAGGACTTCGGACAAGACGATCAAATTGCGAAAACGAGCTCAGATAATTCCCAATCATCGAAAGGAAACTGCGACCAAAATAGTCTCTATTATGATATCCATGATAAGGTTCAGCGTCTGACCAAAGAATAAGAACATTTATAGGCGTTTATCAGTATTGTCGCTGAACCTTGCTAGTTTAAGTACCACACTAGAACTAAACTATATATGTGGTGTTACCTCA